CATCTCTATGATCAGAGATAGCTGCAACTTAGGCCCCATCTACACTGACCATTTAACACAGTTTGAAGGTAGCATCAAACTGCGTTGACCAGACAACAAACTCTCATAGAAGCTCTTTATGTGCATTTGGTGCTCTGTGGTTTGTGCAATCAAATTGGTTCCAGAGTTTCCTATGTAATCATCTGCATAACAAAACCATTATCTTCAATACTGGATTGAAACTGCATTAAATGGCCAATGTTGATGGGGCCTAACTAGCATAGGGACATAGTTTTGTACAATTATGACACTGCGGCAGTCCACTGTCCTGTAGATACATTTTTGGATGTGCCACTTTTGACAAATTATGTCAGATATTAACTTAGAAACACCCCATAGGGCGCCTTTACATTGTTTTACCTATACAAATAAATGTAACTGCATCATTGATTGTTCCAGCTTCCTGGCACCCGTGGCTCCTGTTGTGTCTCTGGTGCTGCTGATCTGCTGACCTGAAGGTTGACAGTTTGAATCTGCAGGATGGGGTGAGCTCCTGCTGTTAGCCCTAGCTCTTGCCAACCTAGCAATTCGAAGACATGCAACTGTGAGTAGATAAATAGATACCACTTAGACAGGAAAGGCATAAGACGCACCAAGCAATCATGCCGGTCACACGACCAGGAGGTGACAACGCAGGCTTCTCGGCTTGAAAATGGAGAACAGCACCTCCCACAGAGCCAAAGATGAGCACTGCCCACAAAACCGGAAATGAAAGTAGAAGCCTTTGCCTTTGTTTGTGGTTGTATTGTATTGCAGGGGTCCTCAAACTAAGGCCCAGGGGCCGGATACGGCCATCCAAGGTCATTTACCTGGCCCTCGCTCAGGGTCAACCTAAGTTTGAAATGACTTGAAAGCATACAACAACAACAATCCTATCTCATCAGCCAAAAAGCAGGCTCACACTTCCCATTGAAATATTAATAAGTTTATACTTGTTAAAGCTGTTCTTCATTTTAATTATTGTATTGTTTTTCAGTGTTTTTTGAACTATAAATAAGGTATGTGCAGGGTGCATAGGAATTCATTCATGTCTTTTTCAAACTATAATCCGGCCCTCCAATAGTTTGAGGGACTGTGACCTGGCCCTTTGTTTAAAAAGTTTGTGGACCCCTGCTGTATTGCAACAAGGCATTGAATGTTTGCTGGTATCTGTTTACACTGTAATCAGCTCTAAGTCCCCATGGGGAGAAGAGCAGAATATAAATGAAGTGTTGTTGTTATTATTATTATTTCCTATTTTTTCTTCCTTCAAATTTTAGTTCATTTTCCAATATAAACCATTTCTCTTGAGATCAAAAAATATCTGACTATTGCCTGTTTGCATTTAAAATTGCACCTTTCAGAGGCTAGGGTGACAAATCCACCAGTCTTCCAACTGTCAGTTGTTTGTCGTAGTTGGCAATCTGATGTGTTTCATGGTCAACAAGCCACAGAATAAACCAACAAGAAAGCAAGAATTACTTCTCAGACTTTTTGGAGAGGGAAGAAAGAAGACAGTAACTTGGCATTGGATATAATGTCAGGCAAAGGATAGAAGAACCATGAGTTGTGCAGTTGTTCCCATTTTCAGGAGGAATCCCGGAGGCCACTGGTTCTTTCCAAATAAGCCAGAGGTATGGTTCTCACCAAAGCGATCTGGCCACAACTATTACAGTATGAAACAAACATTTTTTTCCCTGCTCCTGATTTGAAAGTGTTATTTCCTGTTTAATTGTAGGGTACTTACTTTGAAACTAGTTGCTATACCCCAGAAACTTTGTTTTTGTAGTTGACACAAACAATGTTGAATTAGTTGAGACTCTATGAGATATTCACTGAGAAACGACAGCAAAATATGCTGCAGGATGCCCATCAAAAACAAAGTTTTTGCAGTTTAATAAACCTTTTTCATGTTTTTATGATAGAACCAATTAGGAAATGGCATTTACAACCCAGGAACAAAAAAAGTATTACATAGTGTTATTTTAATACACATGTCAAAAGGAATCAGTTCTGAAGACCGCTTTCCCAGCAGTAGCGCACATCTTGTATGATAATAGCCACTAGCTATTCCAGACTTATATTGTAACCTGAGGGATCGTGGTACGGTATAACAGCTGCTAATTGGAAATGTAGGAATGTGTCCTACAATAAAGAGAAACCATCTAACAGGACAATGGAGAAAATGAATATGCAAACTTTGTGCCATGCACAGGAATATTTAAAAAACTGCATAGTATTATCTCCAGGCTATGCATATGTCTATATGAAGCATAAATGAATTTTATGGTTAGAGTATCTCATTATGTATGTATGTGCAAATACAGCTATTCCAGAATTTAAAACAAATCCAGATCACTTCTGGACCCAAGGTATTAAACTTGTACTGGATCCTAGAAATGTGTTAGGCTACATTGCCATGTTCATCCATGACTCAAGAGTGCCCTATAATCTAAAACACATTAATCATATCTTAATTGCCTTTCTATCATCCAATGGAATGCTGGGATCTGTAGTTTCATGAGTTACCAAGGCTGAATGACTACACTAGATGTCTCTAACAAAGAATGCTGTTTTTGACTGAACTACAAATTACAAGATGCTGTAAATCAGTAGTTCCCAACCTTTTTTTTGACCAGGAACCACTTGACCAGAGGCCACACTCCAACATTAGTACCAAAAGGGTTACGAATCAGTTTTTGGTCAACTTTAGATTTGGTTTGATAATTTGGGGTGCTGATTCAGAAAATTGCAATGGAGAGACCACATCAGCTCTGGTTTCTGATCCAGAACATATGCCATCCAGTAGTCACCATCTGCTCACCCACAGAAAACCATATTTAATAAGCTTCGGCACTATAAGAGAGACTAGTCACAAAGGTGTAGTAACTGCGAGGCCATGGGCCATATTTTAGTTCTTGTGAACCACTGGTGGTCCACGGACCACAGGTTGGAAACCACTGCAGTAAATGACTGAAGTAAGGAACTAGGACGCAGAACAATGGCTTCAAATTACAGGAAAGGAGATTCCACCAGAACATTGGGAAGAACTTCCTGATTGTGAGAGCTGTTCAGCAGTGGAACCCTCTGCCCCGGAGTGTGGTGGAAGCTCTTTCTTTGAGGCTTTTAAACAGAGGCTGGATGGCCATCTATTGGGGGTGCTTTGAATGCGATTTTCCTGCTTCTTGGCAGGGGGTTGGACTGGATGGCCCATGAAGTCTCTTCCAACTCTATGATTCTAAAGGTGCATCTGTACTGCATAATGTAATTTCACGACCCAATTTCAACTGCTACGGGCCAAAGCTATTGTGGAATCCTGGGAGTTGTAGTTTTACAAGGTCTTTAGCTTTCTCTGCCAAAGAGTGCTAGTTTTTCACCAAAACTACAACTCCCATGACTCCTTAGCATTGGTGTATAACTACATTAACTCTCTTGTGCAGTGGATTGCAACTGTGTGGTTTAGATCCACTCTCTGAATGCAGCAACACCCAACAAAACCACAGTTCGGGGCCCTTTCTTTTGCGGTAAGTCAGATCAGGACCAAGTGTGTGCGCGCATGTGTGTGTGTTGAGGAAAAACCTTATGGTGTTGATTATTATGTACAGCTGGTAATGTAGGTCAACAAGCAAGCTTGGAGCACACCCAATGGGGAATACCTGTATGGGTTTTTTAAGAATACAGTGTGGGCAAGCTTTTTCTCTGAGGAGATCTATGCTCAAAGGCTTTGCTCTGGGAAGCAGCATGGAGAAGTTACTCTGAAGGAAGCTTTGGTGGAATAGCCATTTACTCAAGGTTTATTTTTGCTCTCTCATTTGATGTACCATGAAGATGCCTTACAACGACTATGTAAGTTTCTTGCACTGTTTGATTTTTGTATGCAACATTACAAATTTATGTTTCATCTCTGATTTATTTATTTATCGTGTCATCAGCAACCATACCACTGTATTACATTTCTAACCGAACAAAACAAACAAACAGATAAAAAAACACACAAATTATCCAAACTTGGTATTCTACTAAATGTCCTTTGACAGTATCTGGCCACTTGGAGTGCCTCTGGTGTTGCCGCAAGAAGGTCCTCCATTGTGCATGTGGCAGGGCTCAGGTTGCATTGCAGCAGGTGGTCAGTGGTTTGCTCTTCTCCGCACTCGCATGTCGTGGATTCCACTTTGTAGCCCCATTTCTTCAGATTGGCTCTGCATCTCGTGGTGCCAGAGCATAGTCTGTTCAGCGCCTTCCAAGTCGCCCAGTCTTCTGTGTGCCCAGGAGGGAGTCTCTCATTTGGTATCAGCCATTGATTGAGGTTCTGGGTTTGAGCCTGCCACTTTTGGACTCTCGCTTGCTGAGTTGTTCCAGCGAGTGTCTCTGTAGATCTAAGAAAACTATTTCTTGATTTAAGTCGTTGACGTGCTGGCTGATACCTAAACAAGGGATGAGCTGGAGATGTCACTTCCTTGGTCTTCATCTCTGATGAGTAAAAGAGTAAAGATTTTTCTGTTCATTTTTCCTCATGTCTGTGAATCTATTGCATTTGGACTTTGGGTGCTGGGTAAAATCCGCTGCTGTGCTACACCTTCCACACAGCTGAATAAAATCCAACATGATCCGCTTTGAACTGGAATATATGGCAGTCTGGACACAATAACCCAGTTCAAAGCAGATATTGTGGGATTTTCTGCCTTGATATTCTGGGATATAGGGCTGTGTGGAAGAGACCTATTTTTGCCTGGATGCAAGGCTGCAGCTACACTGTAGAATGAATGCAATTGGGCCCTACTTCAGCCATTAATTCAGTAGATGCACCTCTGGTTATTTATTCGGGATGCATTGCACTTGTGGTGGAGTTGAATGCCTTGCAGGGACTTCTTGCAGTCCCAAATCAGCCTGCAATTCAGAATAGAAGCAGCAGCGAAAGCGCCCGAGCGCCCCCTTGTGGCCGCGAGCTCCCTCTGCCTGCCTCTTGGCGGAAGAGGAAGAGGCGTTTTTCTCTCCTGGCGGAAGCAGCGAAGGCGATGCTTGGTGGCTGCAATGTCTGGACTGGCCTTGGAAGAGCTCTCGGCCATTGCCGCCATCTACTGCGGGCAGGAGGAGTGCCAGGTCCTGCGGGTGTCAGGTGACCCCTTCTGTAGAGAGTCAGGCACCCCGGCAAGGAAGGAAGAGCCCAGATCAACACCAGGAGAGGCCTTTCAAACATATTCTAGAAGCATTCTCTCCTGACATTTCTCCTGCATCTATGGCAGGCATCCTCAGAGGTTGTGAGGTTTGTTGGAAACTAGGAAAATTGGGTTTATATATCTGCGGAATGTCCAGAATGGGAGAAAGAACTTTTGTCTGCTTGAGGCAAGTATAAATGTTTTAATTGGCCACCTTGATTAGCATTTGATGGCCTAGCAGTTTCAAGGTCTGGCTTCTTACTGCCTGGGGGAATCCTTTGTTGATAGGTATTTAGGTGTTCCTGATTGTTTCTTGTCTGTACTTCCCCTGTGTTGGAGTGTTGTTCTTTATTGACTGTTATAATTTTAGAGTTTTTTTTAATACTGAGGAAACACAACCTACAAATTACTTACTACTCACTAAGAAAATCCAATAAATGCTACGTTCAGCAAAGGACAAAAGGGATCTTCTCACCTTTGCCGGAGTCTACCGTATACCATGCAGCTGTGGACAAGTCTACATAGGGACCACCAAACGCAGCATTGCCTAAACACGAATCAAGGAACATGAAAGGCACTGCAGACTACTTCAACCAGAGAAGTCAGCCATAGCAGAGCACCTGATGAACCAACCTGGACACAGCATATTATTTGAGAACACAGAAATGCTGGACCACTCGAACAACCACCATGTCAGGCTACACAGAGAAGCCATTGAAATCCACAAGCATGGGGACAATTTCAACAGAAAGGAGGAAACCATGAAAATGAACAAAATCTGGCTATCATTATTAAAAATTTTAAAATTATAACAGCAAATAAAGAACACAGGGGAACTCCAGACAAGAAACAATTCGGGACAGCTAATCACCTCAACAAAGAATTCCCCCAGGCAGTAACAGGGCACACTAAAAACTGTCAGTCCATCAAATGCTAATCAGGGTGACCAGTTGAAACATTCACACCTACCTCCAACAGACAGGAGTCTTTTTCCCACCCTTGACTTTCCACAGATATATAAACCCAATTTTCCTAGTTTCCAACAAACCTCACAACCTCTGAGGATGCCTGCCATAGATGCAGGCGAAACATCAGGAGAGAATGCTTCTAGAACATGGCCATACAGCCCGAAAAACCTACAACAACCCAGTCTCTGCTACTCCTGTGTTTCATACTTCAGCTCCCAGAATTCCCAGCAGTTGGCCATGCTGGCAGGAGCTTCTGGGAGTTGAAATCCCAAAGTCTGGAGGAGCCAAGGTTGGGCATCCCTGCTTTAAAATCCCACCAAGGTTGCACTGTAGAATGAAAGCAGTTTGACACCACTTGAACTGCCATAACCCAATTCTATGGAATCCTAAAGGCCCTGCCAGACTGGCCCTATATCCCAGGATCTGATCCCAGGTTTTCTGCTTTGAACTGGATTATATGAGTCCCCACTGATAATCTGGGATAAACACATCCTGGGATATATGGCCTGTCTGGAAGGGCCCTAGGAGTTGCATTTGGTGAGACACAAGCACTCTTTCACAAGCCCCATCTACACTGATGTATAGAATCATAGAGTTGGAAGAGATCTCATGGGCCATCTAGTCCAACCCCCTGCCAAGAAACCGACTAGATTGCCCATGCTGTCTCTTCCAACTCTATGATTCAATGATTCTAGAAGAAACTCTCAACATACAGTAGAGTCTCACTTATCCAACATAAATGGGCTGGCAGAACGTTATATAAGTGAAAATATTGGATAATGAGGGCTTAAAAGAAAAACCTATAAAATGTCAAATGGTGGTATGATTACATTTTAATTTTACAAATTAAGCACAAACATGTTTTACAATAAAAAAAGCAGTCCAGTACACAGTAACGTTATGTAGTAATTACTGTATTTACTAATTTAGCACCAAAACACAAGGATTCTTTCTTCCTCCCTGGACTGCGCTGGATAATACAGAATGTTGGATATAAGCAAAGGTTGGATAAGTGAGACTCTACTGTTACTACAGTTCCTGCTGAGAAGCAGGAAAACCCAGTTTCAGATCCCAGATTATTTACTTTGCACTGGTACAGCCAATGGGCAAATCAATAAAACGTATGTGTATGCTTTGAACTGGATTGTATCACAGTGTAGACTCATAATCCAGTTCAAAGCAGATAATTTAGCATCCGATACTGGATGGATTATATGACTGTAGATCCAGCCACGGAGAAAGGCTCAAAACCAGGTGAAGAAGGTACAGTCCCCATCACTGCATATAATAGACCCATGACAGTTAAAGTGGTGTCAAATTGCATTCATTCTTCAGTGTAAATATTGATTGTTGTATTTGTACTTTCTACTGTGTATTTAATTTTATAGTGGAGATAGCTTTCACTACTGTCGGTTACGTGTTTTGTATTGTTCTTTAACCCTTGATGTAAGCTGCTCTGAGTCCCTTTGGGGAGATGGGACAGGGTACAAATAATAATAATAATAATAATAATAATAATAATAATAATAATAATAAAGACTGGCACAAGCCTGTAAAGGTGGTCCCACTGGTGATCGGCACACTGGGTGCAGTGCCTAAAGACCTTGACCTGCACTTAAGCACAATCGGCACTGACAAAATTACCATCTGCCAGCTGCAGAATGCCACCTTAATGGGATCTGCACGCATCATTTGCCAATACATCACACAGTCCTAGACACTTGGGAAATGTCCGACGTGTGATCCAATAAAACAGCCAGCAGAGTGATCTTGTCTGCTGTGGATTCATCGTTTTGTATTTCAAATAATAATAATAATAATAATAATAAAAAATGCAACCCTTGGAAATGTTGCAGTAACAAGGATTGAAAGAAGGAAGGGAAGGTAGGAAGACAGGAAGAATTTGTAACTCAGCATCAAAGCAGATCCATTGCACTGCCATATAATCCAGATATCAAAGCAAGCAATCCAATTCTGCTTTTATATGGATTATATGAGTCTACACTGCCATATAATCGAATTCAAAGCAGATAATCTGGATTTTGTATGCCAGTGTAGATGGGGCCAAAGATAACCTTCGGTTTGCCAAAGCTCTGTAGCTGTGAACCTGAATTATTTTGAATCCTCAGTTGCAAGAGCGAGTTTGACTTCAGAAGTTCCTTCGTTTTCTATCCAAGACTTGGGTGTCATTCTTTGGTGGGCAAAGAGGGAAACATTTTATCTATTGTAGTATGTAGAAAAGCAAAGCAAGACAGACTTGCTTTCGCCTGCTGTTTATATTTTTATAATTTATTGGTAGATATATATCTTTTTTATTTTTTCAGTTTATGCTACTGTGTGTTTTACTGCATACGATACTTAATCAACACACATAAAAATAAAGGAAAGGGCATTTTTCAACAACACACAGTATCATAGTCTCTCTATTATGAAGGAAAGCTAGCTGTATGTTTTCCCAAATAGTCAGATTGGGCTCCACTTGAGAATGACATAAACCCAAACTTGCAGACAAAGTAAATTCCCAATGTCTCTTATTGAAAAATTAAGCTACATCACTTGGCATGAGTTCTTGAATTCATGAATTTTTAGGGGAATGCATGTACAGCGATTGCCAAACTACAAAACAAATACATCTGGCCTTCCCCAGTGACATGCTGGCTGGGTTTAATGAAAATCGTGGTACATCTGGAGGCCACCAGACTGGGGTAAACACTTCATTTGGTTTGCTTACAGTTAAGAATTTAGCCTCTAAAACAAAAACATCTCCTCACGCTTCCAAAATTGCTTTGGTTCAAATGCGATAAGAGGAATCTTTTTTATCAACAGAGATAAAGACGATGGTTTAATTTAAGATAAGATAAATGTGTGGTTATTGTTAGAAGTTAAGCCACTTCTGATACCATATTTCAGTCTTACAATTGAAGAAATATGGTTATTATTCACGGTTTTGGATATTCATAAGGGAAGGGTTGCTTTGTACTGGTGGATAGAGAAAATATATTACAGATTTTGGGTAGCTAAGTATGTGACCATGAATTTCCTTCTAACACAGTGTTTCTCTACCTTCCTAATGCCACGACCCTTTAATACAGTTCCTTATGTTGTGGTGACCCCCAACCATAAAATTATTTTCGTTGCTATGTCATAACTGTAATTTTTGTACGGCTGTGAATCGTAATGTAAATATCTGATATGTAGGATGTATTTTCATTACTTCTCTTTCTCCCTGGGATTCAGCCATGGAGGGGCCACTCCACCCCTCTCTAAGCCCTCCCCTCCCCCCAGGCCCCCCTTCCTAGCCCCCTCTTTTTCCTTCCCACTCCTCCCCCACCCCGAAATAGCAACTTTCTTCAAGCCTCCACTAATAAGTTGTTTTGAATATGATTCTGTTTGCTTACTATATTGTATATGTATGTTTTGGTATGCAACTTTCCCTCTACTCTGTTTCTTGTTGTTGTGGGAGGGACTGCAGACCATGTGATCAGATCTGGGATTGCTCAAAGCTCAGACTCCATTTTAGAACACAGATAAGCTATTAGACTTTGGACTGTTAAGAGTAAACTCATGTTGCTGTTGATTATAAGAAAGATGCTTTGTATTATCTACACAGAGAAACTACTTCAAATTCTATCTGTAACTGGATTGACAACTTATATACCTGTACACTGAATACATGAAGGTTGTGAGTAAACCAAATATGTTATTTTTAATGAAGTTTATTTTATTTTTGATATAGAAGCAAATTATTTTAATGGGAGAGTAGATTTTTTTGTCACTGAAAAGAACACTTCTGAAGAACTGCTATTTTTGTGTACTGGCATAATTTCTGTTCCTAACAGATCAGAGACAACTAGGTTATCAGTCTGACAACTGAAAGCCAAATTGCCTTGCATAAGTACATGTGGATATATACAATTGAAGCGAAGATTTCACTCAAAATGAGCTTTTGGCTCTTCTCTGGAAGATTATACTTTTACAAAAGTTTATGATTT